GAATTTTTTACAAGTACCCGTGAAAGTGATTGAATTTGATTTGCCTTTAATATGGTTTGAGGTAATTACTTTTTTTTTGTTTCCTACAAATAATGGTGCTACTGCCATGACATATCCCAAGGCGGGCCTAGGTACAATGCATTTTCTTCTAGAATATTTTTCTAACTTTCTGTCAAAAGGAAAAGATTCTTTGCAGGCGCACTTATAATGTGAAAAATGGATGTGTGCCAACATAAGCACCACTATCAAATCTTTCTTTGCCAAATTGTGAAAATCACAAATAGATTAATTGTAATTGGGTTTGTTTCATGTCTGATAATCTGGTATAGTTTCACAGCCTTGTCTAGAAAAGCAGAGGGTTCTTTAGTTTATTCTGTCATTATAAGCTACTTTAAAACTTTCACAAATATAGTGACCTTTAATTTAGGGGATATTTTATATTTTTATGTAGAAAATAGAGTTTTTTAAGGGTCATTAAGGCTCAAAAAGAGATTCCTGCTACTCAGTTGCTAAATTTGCCTGAAAAAGTCAAAGCAAGATACTGCAAATATTCATATATACTATGGATTTACTGATTTTTGTGGAAAAAAGTTTCTTTATTATCTCTTCATGATAACAAGCTTTATAAAAATGGTTTCTGGAGGTTTCTAAAATGTCTCCAAAACCCACAGCCTTATCATAGGTAACACCATTGCCTGTCAGAGACTACACTAGCCATGGATAAGCAATATCTTAACTTGATACCTGTTTTTTCATAGTTTATTTGGAACTTTTCCAGGTCTACACACCCTGATTGATCTCTAATTCAGGGACAGAAAACTTTCTCTGTGAAGATCCATATAGTAAATAGTTTAGGCTTTGTGGGTTATATATAGTCTCTGTTGTACCATATTCTTTTTATTCTTCCTTTTACAAAACTTTAAACAGTTTACTAATCATTCTTAGTTCACAGGCCATAAAACAAGGTATAATTCTAATATATCAGGCTCCAATTCAGTCATTGGGTGCAAACATGCAACCCCAGGGTAAGGGGAAAATTATTTTGGGCACTTGCTTTGTAGAAGTCAACAATAATTCTCTGGCTAAAGATTAGCAAGTGAAAAATATTAACTGTATCTCTTTAGACTCTTGTTGATTTACTTATATTTTCCATGATGGCTAGGTCTTTTTTGTTTGCTTGTTTTCATAAATGTAAAGAGAAAGAAAAAAGTGTAAGGAAGGGAGGGAGGAAGGGGGCAAAGGGAGATATAAAAAAGAGAAAGGGAGAGTAAAAGAGGGAAAGGCAGAAAGAAAGAGTGGGGGAAAAAAGCAAAGACAGAGATAAACTAACAAGAGTGAGATGGGGAAGAAAAAGAAAATTAAAAAAAAAAACAGGAGAAAGAGAGGTAGAGAGTAGCAAAGGGAGAGGGGAGAAAAAGAAAAACCATGAACAAACATAGGGAGAGCCAGAGTAAGGAAGCTAGGGCACAGTCTTCTCCTTTTCCAGAGGCACCTCCCCAGATGCTTCCAAAGACTGAGGTTGCTGCCTAGCCACTGATCATAATTCCTAGAAGTGAAATGCAGACTTCACATCTGAAAATTTCCACTTTGTTTTTATCCAAGTGAAGTAGAACACAAAATTTGAGGCCCAAGCAAATGGCTCATGTTTTCTTTGGGACATTTAGGCTGTGTCTACCCAGTGAAAATTTTGAGGTACTGAATGCCTGATTCCAGTACATATGATATAGGGTAAACCAGGGTAGTTCAGAACTTTTTTCTTCCACAGGAGTTTTTCAGCAGAAAAAATCTAGATGGTTGCCTCAACTATCCACTAGGTTTTGCCAGAATAAGCACAATGAGTGTAGTATGCAGGAGACAGGGACCATTCCCTCTCTCCAAGGTTCCCTTCAATACACAACCTGCACAGCTGAACATAGTGGGATCTTTCCTGACAGGCTTTCATTCTATGGAAAATAGCAACTTTTGTCTAATGAATCTCTAAGAAGCTCCCCAAAACCCTAAATGTCGCAGCATTTTTAGCTGTGAAATGACAAAACAGGTAAAGGAGCAGAAACATATTAATAGGAAGAATAAAACCCATTCCTTTCCCCATTTGAGAAGGGGTATAGCAAAGCCAAAGCCCATGAGTTCCCAACAAAATTAATGACTATGTATATGGATATTTTCTCTAATTACTGTGAACACTTGGGTTGCATTTTTAAGTAGCTAGATATGAAGAGGGACCCCCCAAACCCCAGAATTACCTTCTGGAGTGTGGGCCCCTTTTAGTAAACCTTCTCCCACTAGGTGAGTGTTCTAGGAACCCATCTGTATCAGTGTACCAGCTGGCATTGTTGTGAGAGGCTGACTTCACCTTCAGTGAATTTTTTTGAAGACACTTTCCATGCATTTGCCCATTTCATGATGGGTGATTTACAAGCACACCTGCTCACACAATGCTGAGTGTTTAGCAATTTTTAACCAGAAAATGGATAACCCCCATGCCCCACCCTCCCTATTCACCTGATCCCACCCTGACTTATTTTGTTTCCCTGGATGAAACAAGTCCTCAAAGGGAAATGTTTTGCCAGTGTGGAAGAGGTGAAACAAAAAATGGCAGAAGCACTAAAAGACATCAAAATTGATGAGTTCAAAAACTATTTAGAACAGTGGAAAAAGTATCTTGGTAGGAGTATTGCATCAAATGGAGTGTACTGTAAAGATGACTGAAGTTTAAAGATGTGAGAAGGACACATGGACAAAACTGAGGGGGATGGGATCGGGGTGGGAGGTGGGAATGGCTGGGGTGGGAAGAGTAGTAAGGAGAAAATGGAGACAACTGTACTTGAACAACAATAAAAAATGTTTACAAAAATGAAGATGTGAGAATACATACACAATTTTTTAGAAATAAATTCCAAGTGTTTGGTATCTCCCCTCATATATGTATAGATAAACCTTTGGCTTTTAAAAGTATAGTTAACAAGTAAATTAAACTACATCTCAACATGTAAAAATAGTTTTTCATAGAAGTGTGAAGATACACTTTATAGAGGTATAGTTTATGTTACAAAGGTGTGTACAGATTTTTTTTAACAATTAAATAAAAAGTTTCAATTAATGAGGGAAGAACACTAATCAGAATAACCACTTGGTAAATTATTTTCTAAAGAATTTTTCTAAAAAATTAACAATTAACTCATAATTTACCTGGTAAAATTGCATTTCCATGGACTCCTGTACTTATCCCATGATTTTGGGTTAGGGTTTTGTTTTGTTTTATCTGGAGGAAAGGTGATAAAAATAATGGAAAAGACACATGAAGGTTCTTTTACTGTATCTTACAGATCCAACTTCCAATGATGAAGCTTCCCACATAACTTCTTTCTTTTTTGGAGCAGAAACAAAGGAAGAAAATGAAGAGTCAGAGCTGTTGATACATTGGGATAATATTTTTTCATTATTTGAAACTTTCCACCTTTCATTTTATTCTGTTTCACCAATTCTCTATATGCTAATTACTGAGTGATAACATCCCCATAACTTCTTGTGTGGTGTTTTTGCTTTTGTTTTTATTTTCTTGCAGATTTTAATGCTCATTTTCCCCTGAATACATAGTCTTTACAATAAAATGCTAAAAATTCTTAAGAGGTTCTTTCCCCACTTAGAAATTGCTGTGTTCCCTCAGATAAAATCATTGTAACTATCACATGAGAAAGTCCTAAAATGTAGTAAGTAAAAACCAAAACAGCAGTAACAATGAACTGTAAAACAGGCAATTCTATGTGTATCTCTTAAAAAGTTCTTTGTTTATCTGTACAGTGTGTAGAAAGTTTACTCATTTTCCCTTGTGAAAGTGTTATGGCTGTCAAGTGGTGGAAATAAACCCTGGAAAAGAGAGATTATCTGTAAAATATGCAACTGTAAAATAAGTTTCTCTTTTCAAATGGCTTGTACTGGGCTGTTTGGTGGCCAGATACTAGATACTGAATGTGACTACTTGAAAGCAGTCTGTAATCTTGGGCAGATTTGCAGTGACAAATGTTGCTATGGTTTCTGTAAGCACTGCTTCTGCACTGTACATTAGACAAGGCCTTGTGCTCTGCTTAGTAAAGACAGCTCTCTGTTGCAGCACCTGTACCCAACGCTCCATTTCTTAGCACATGTGTGTGTTTCCCTTTTTGGAAAATATGACTTTGGGGAGGATGATTGCCAAAGGATTATTCCATGGTATAAATAAATATTCACCTCACTCTCAGAACTGGTCTACAAAGTAGGACAAAAACTTCCTTCTCTGCTGATAAACTCCTCCTCCATTCCTGATAATTTCATACCTCCTCCTCACCTCCAATTCCACCCCTCTTTCTTCCTCTGTACAAAGAGCAGCCGGTTCAAATTAAACTCATGGGCACACACACACCACTTCCCTATATCCAGTTTTGAAGGCCAAGATGGAAAACCTAAGGTTACAAATAACAGAAAGTATTCTTAGAAACAAGCTATGATTCTAGAAGAGATTTTCCACCATCCCTATCACAGTATCTTTGAAGTAGTTCATATACATAGATCACCTTACTTGTTTAGCAGTTGAAAACTATGGGTAACAGCAAACTAAAAACATAAATACCGTGACTCTTCAATCATCAAAAAGTTCCATTTCTCTTTTCATCAACTGAATGATTGCTTGTTTACTTAGAGTAGTAGCCTGGAAGCCTGCCTTAAATTAAATAATCAAATAAATAAAAAATAACTGAAATACACCTAAGCTCCAAAGAAGTCAGATTTAATATTAGCAAACAAAACAGTATAAGTGATAAGGGAAAAGAAAATTAATGTTTTAAAGTTTTTTTTTCATTTTTTCTTTTTAAAGAAATTTGCTTTCTGGATGTGCAATACATCAAAATAAAATATTATATACATTAGTGAAAGACTGGATCTTTACTATCCCAAAGTGCAAACCTAATGCTTTAAAGACTGGAAATGTCTTTGTTTTACTCTTTTTCTCTTTCTGTGATTTGTAGCATACACTGAAGATCTCACAAGATGTGTTGAGCAAAGCAGAAGACTTACTATTGTGCTAACTTCAGACTATATTCTCAGAAGAGAATGGAATATGTTTGAATTGGAAAGTAGACTCCATAACATGCTAATCAGTGGAGAAATCAAAGTGATATTGATTGAGGGTACAGAATTTAAAAAGAAGGTGAATTTCCAGGAAGTAGAATCACTAAAGCGCAGCATCAAACTTCTGTCACTGATCAAGTGGAAAGGACCCAAAAGCAGCAAATTAAATTCTAAGTTTTGGAAGCACTTAGTATATGAAATGCCTATCAAGAAAAAGAAGGGCTTTCTCAGTGTCATGTTCTGGACTCTGCAGAACAAGGACTTTTTGCAGAACTCCAGCCTATACTCTCTATTGCCATGACCAGTACCTTAGCCTCTCTGGAGTCATCTCAAGCTGATCTTGCTAATTTCCACCATTCAGGTTCAATGCAAATGGAACACTGCTGTAGCCATTATAAATACATGATGCCAACCACCATTTTTCCAATACCTTCCTTAGGTGACAACCACGCTTATTGTAACCTGCCTCTGACATTACTCAGTGGACAGCTACCCCTTAATAATCCCCTGAAAGATACCCAGGAATTTCATAGAAAGAGTTCCCTGTTACTGTTATCATACAAAGAGTTTAGCTTCACCAGTGATATTTGGTAGTGAAAAGTCTAACATCTTCAGAACAGCTATGTGAGTATAAAGAATTTCTGCTATACCTAGCATAAAGCATACCTAATAACATGAAGATGTTGAAAAAGTGTTTGAAGAAAAAGGCACAGAAATTGATTTGTTACTTCAATGTATTTTTTACATTTTCAGAATAGTGGGAGCAAGAAGGACCTGCTTTTGTTGTATCGTACTTTGTTCCAATGTACAATTTTAATCTCTCCCTGAAAAGATAAAAAATCCTATTGTTTTAGGGTAGGTTTTATGATACCAAATGAATTGCAAGCTAAATAGGTGAGTTATTTTCCACATATTTATGAATATGTCAGCATTTATATGGTATTTGAAACAGGGAAAATTTACAGACTTTTATTGAATTTGAAAATTCTGAACTATGTTTATGAGAAAAGGATAACTCTAGAGTAACTGACAAGATCAGGAATTATCAAGATAGAAGTGTTGAGGTACTCAACTTAGAAGAGTGTTTGTAGAAGAAAATTTATTAATAAAAAGTGTAATTGAAATGATTAGAACATCTTCAACATAATGGACAATTTCTGTAGATTAAATCAATAGCTCTTAATAACAGCTTTTACTTTTATTAGGCAAACACATACTCTGTAGACAAACTGGTAGGTAGGTAAACAACATGCATTTCTTAAGCAAATGAATAGACAGGCTAATTCTTTCAGAATGATTTTGAATAACCCCTATGGCTTTTTAGCCTATTTTTAAAGTTTTACAAATTTGAAAATGCATTTTAAAATATGCAGCTTTCCATTTGTTAACAAATTCACATTTGCATTTTTCCCAAATAATCTTTCAATCTTCTATAAGCTTTATAGCAAGATGTGAGCATCTTCCTACTTTTTTTCAGTATCTTTGGAGTTTGAATTTAAATAAATATTTGCTGCACATGTCAGCAGTTCAAAATCAGTAAAACAACAATAATCACAGATGAAGTACTAAATAATTGAAGTATACTAGTAGTAAAGCAGCAGTTGTAGTGGTTCTTATCTGAAATGTAGTTGTGAAACAGACTATTCTGTACATACACAGTATCTGCTTGGCCATGGGTACAAGATTTCTGCAGAAGTATCCTTATTCCTGGTCTTTCAAAGAGTACATTTTATAGACTAAACTTCTCCACCTTCACATTGTGATGACTATGCCCTACCAAAATATCCCTGTGAATAATCTGAAATATTACAAATGTGCTGTAAGGAATGTTCTCCTCTTCTGGTATTTCTTGTGGAATACTACTGTGTGTTCTCTCCAATCAATTAATTTTGGTGTGTTCTCCAATAAGATGCCCTTGAGTGTCAATTGTTAATCAAGGTTGATTTTGGCATTTTGCAAATATTTATTAAATCATGTTTTTGGACAAATATAAGCAAGGACAAATGTACATAGTGTATAAAAATTAATTTGCCCAGCCATTGTAATTGTGAAACTCTGGTAAATCCTGAACCCAAGGTAGCCCATCCATTGTAAGTGTGAAATATTATATAATATGTTTTTATTTTTCTTTCAACCTCTTTATGTTATTGACATCTTGTGGTCCATGGGTTTTATTCAAAGTACTTGTTTTTCTATTGCTTTACTTTATCATACTACTCAAGAACTACATTATACACCAAGAATATGTGAAAGCTTAGCAGTGGTACATGTTCATTTCATAGTGGGACAATTAATTGCTCCTTGAAAAATCCTACTCAACACATACAGATGCTTCATAGATGTACTTTTTTTTTGAGAGAGATGATTTTGCTTCTATAAAAACTATAGGTATTTCAAAAATATTAATTTATCAATGCGGAACTATTTCCCAAGTGTTATAAAATTGTATATGCTTTCATTGTTCTTTGATGATATGTGTAATTACTAAATTAATAACTTGGATGACATGAGTAGTATAGATTTAAGTGACCAATTGTATTTTATATTATTTTGTTTTTCACAGAAGTCCAGATTAATCCAAATAGAATATTGAGTGGTATTTTTGAACTAATAGTTTTGTATTGAGTGTGGCAGTTCTGAAAATACAGCATGTGTCCCTCTGCTTTCTTTATTTACAATGATTAAACGTGGATAGCAATTTGAGTTGGTTGACCACAACGTGTCCTTTCACTACTAGTAAGTATTCAAAAACAGAGCATTCACACTTGTGCTGGGGAACTTGACAAGAAACCTTTTTTACCATTTTCAGGAACCGATGTGTACATTATCTATAAAAATTTTTCTACATGGCAATTCAAGATGTGATTTTCATCTGAGCTTTTTAAAAGATATAGCCCATAAGGGTATAATGAGTGTTTAGTCTAGAATAAGATGCAGTCTTTCAGTTTATTTCACAGTGGTAAATTTTTTTCTTCTTAATTTTTCAGTGAAGTGGGTTTTGGAAATTTAGAAAAATACTGATGCAACTAATTCCCATGCATTCATAACAAATTTATTTATTGTTCATCAGCAGTATACATAATTTAAAATTTTTAAGCTATTGTAAGGTAAGAACATCTAAAAATATATGAAATTGTGAGACAAATGAGAAATTTACAAAATCAATAGATACATAGGAAATGAAAACTACATTAAAAATGAGCAACCCTAAGGGAAATGAACAACATGTATATAGTTTTAATTTGGAAAAATATGAAATCTGGCAATTTTGCCAATCTATTGGCTTCAACCTGACTATTAAGGCTCAAAGGTAGCTGAATAGTTCTTGAATAGAAGTAAGAAGGCATCTCTCTCATCCTTTGTGAATAAAAGTATGAAGACATCTCTCTTCACCCCCTCTAAGCCTTCATTCAATTAGACTCAAATATGTTCAGTTTGCAGTCACTTTCACTTAAAAAATAGGTGCAAAGACTCTTGAGGGATTCCGGTAAGTCTTGAACCCAAGGTAGCATCATGTGAAAAGATAATATTTTATTTGAGGGTTGTTGGTTAGCAATGTAAGCCTTACAAGTAGGATGCAGGCTGCAATGAGAGGAGAAACATTTAAGTTATTAAAGAGAACTTTATAGAGGACTTTCAAAAGAACATAGATATAAGTACTATCCTATAGATTACTTCTGAACAATTTAGAAAAATTCAGGTGTGAGAAAGAAGGAAATTGTGCCAAGAGGAAAAATGAGACTCTCTGACACACTTGGTGACTGAAGCACTTACAAGTGTGTATGGAACCACTGGTTTCAAGCTTTACTAACCTTTGGACTTTTACTTTTAAATAAATAGGTTGGTTTTCACAAGTTTTTTCTAAAAAATTAAGTGATGACCAAGAGAAATATCCTAAAACTCATATAAATCTTTATACTCATATTCATTTCCCAAGGTGCAGCAGTGAACTGATAAAACCAGAGTGAAATTAACACAGAAAATATTTCCACAGTGACCATTTAAGTTTGAACACCTGCAACTTTTATTGGTGTTTTCTGGGAGAGATTTAATGCTGAAAAGAGTCTGGCTCAAATTTCTGTATTATTCATACATTTTTATTCTAAGATTTTTAATAAGAGGTGACAGCATTGAAAATTAATGATATCTTATTAATGTATTGGCTGTTTGATATACAAAAATAATTTGCTTCAAATACTTTCACAACAAATTTAACTTTTTATCAGCCATAGGCAATTCTTTTTTTTTTTTAATTTTAGTTGTTGTTCAAGTTCAGTTTTCTCATAGGCAATTCTTAAACAGCAGATTCTCTTGCAATGAGGTCATTTAGCACTGTGTAATTAATGTTAAATCAGAACTTGGAAAATACCTACATCCATCTAAAATTGTCTACTCAAATGCTCACTGCTGTTTGACAAACCACATTTTTTCAAATGGTTCAAAAGACAATCATGAATATTTATTGAGTAATAGGCACTGTGTAATGTCCACTACATAAAGTACAATAGAATGTTTCAAAAAAATTGAAGTCCCTATTTTTAAGTAGTCTACACATCATATGCATGAAGAAAATTGTATTTGCAAAACATATTCCATGTAGAAAAATTAATATTATACATGCAGAGAAAATAAGTAAGGTAGGGTGATTTATTCCCAAACTAGGCAAAAGATAAATTTTGAATTGAGGGAACAGTGGTAAAAATGGTGATTTCCCAAGTGTATAGAATAGCGCATGTGAAGACTGAGGGGAAAATAAGCAATTCCTATTATCTGAAGATCAATATGTTTGGCTACCAAGAGAGGAAATCTGTGTGAGGGCAGAAAAAGAAATGAGGCTGGGAAAGATGCAGAATGTTCATCTGGTAGCAGATGAGGGAAGAATTAGGTAGGGGAAGAACATGGTGGCAGAGAAACCATTTTGGAGACTGCTTTCATGGCACATGTGAGTTGATAAGAGATGGAGTATGGTACCTGGATACTCTTAAAAAAAGCAAATCTGAGAACAAAGAGAAGGAGGCAGGATGTGGTGATGTGAAAAATAGAAAATGAAGAAGAAAAAAGTCAATAAAGACTCCAAGGATCAAGAAAATTAGTTGCATCAGTCCTAGATGGTGTGGCCTCAGTGGACTGAGTGCTGGATTGTGAACTAAAGGGTCACTGTTTCCACTCTCAGTCAAGGCACATGCCTGGGTTGTGGGCCAGGTCTCCAGTAGGGGGCAGTTGACTGGCAACTGGACATTGATGTTTCTCTACCTCTCTTTCTCCCTCCCTTCCTCCCTCTCTAAAAATATATAAATAAGATCTTTATAAAATAAAAAGAAAGGCCTGTAAGCAAGAGCACTCTAACCAGCATTACTCTCATTTAAAATGGAAGCCACAATAAGGAGCTTCCTAGCAAACCACCCCCCCCAAAAACAAAAAACACACAAAATGATAAAAGAACACATCTTCACCACACTAGCATTACAAGAGAAACAAAAGGTGCTGCATTAAGAACCAGAAGAAAAAGAGAGAAACATAATAACAAAGGAGAAAAATGGCAATGAATAAGTAGCTATCAATAATAACCTTAAATGTAAATGGATATGGATTAA